ATTTTACTTTGTCTTCCGGTGCTGCCTTTTGAAATCTTCTATTCAACTCTTCAGTATCTTGAATGCTATGGTCTTTATAAAATAAATGCTTTGTGTCATCTTCACTTTCAGCAAAAAAGGTTCTTTCATTTGTATCTCATAAGTTGTTGATGTGGAAGTAATGTTCCAGTTTTCATGCCATGGCTTTCACCCCATAATCTAGTTTCTGAGATTATTTACTAAGCATGCAGACTGAAGAGTATTGTAAAAGGATAACAACTGTAATCCACATTTGATAGTTTGTTCCTCTTAATGGCTAATTAGGAGAAAGGGGGACTGATAAAATTATTATTTTTTAAATTAATCTGACACAATAAAAATGTGGATCATATGTTTCTGCCTTGAACTAAATTGTCCCTTTAGTTTGGAAGGCTTAGTAGAGGCTGTACTTACCATTTTTAAGAGGAAAAAAGATCACATGGTAATGACATCATCAAACTACTAAAGATTATGAAATTTTATGCTTTAAAATTGTTAAAATGTTAAAATGCTTTCAGTCATACTAATTTGGTAGTCTGGAGGACTCAGTTTTTAATCACTGAATTTCTAGAGCTTGATACTGAGTCAGTGCTATCCAAATTTCAAAATTTGAGTTCATCAGAAATTTTCCTGTAGGAAGACAAATGTTTTCCAGTATCTTGGTTTCTAATGTAAATAGTAAGAGTATCACTTGTTAAAACTTAAAAATTATTTGTATATGTGTGTGTGTGTGTGTGTGAGAGAGAGAGAAATGATAGGAAATGTAAAAATGTTATAATTTTTGAAAAATCAATTTATAAAATGTTTATTTAATCAATTGCCAGTGATGTCTTATCTTTTTGCCTTGAATCTTGTTTCGTCAATAATTTTATCCTTTTTATCATCCTGTTCTCTAGTCTTGTTGCCAATAATTTTGAAGACTGCTCCCATGTAACTTCACCATTAGATCCAAATGGACCCTTCGATGTTGTCATTAAAGAGGAACCTCTAGATGATTATGAATATGAGCTTGGTGAGTGCCCAGAAGGTGTCAGTGTGAAACAGGAAGAGACAGATGAGGAAACAGATGTATACTCAAACAGTGATGATGATCCTATACTAGAGAAACAGCTAAAAAGACATAGTAAAGTTGATAACTTAGAAGCTGAACATTCCTCTTCTAACTGGCTACCAAGCAGCCCATCAGGTATTGCTAAAGCGAAAATGTTCAAATTAGATGCTGGAAAGATGCCAGTTGTTTGTCTGGAGCCCTGTGCTGTCACTAAAAGCACAGTGAAGATTTCTGAGCTGCCTGATAACGTGCTTTCTACATCTCGGAAGGATAAATCTTCAGTGTTGGCAGAATTAGACTATTTGCCTGCGTATATTGAAAATTCCAATGAGACTGACCTCTGTTTAGAAAAAGAATCAGAAAATGGTCTTAGAAAATATTCATCAGATTTCAGAGTGATACAGAAATACCCTTTATTTAATGAGCCTCAATGGAAATATCCTGATATATCTGACAGCATTAGCACAGAAAGAACACAAGATAATAATTCTAAGAGTTCATCTGGGGATTCATTTTCTGGAAAAGAGGACTTGGGTAGAAAGAAAACTGCTATGCTTAGAATTGCCCCAGCTCCAAAGGCTGCGACTGCTAGTCAGAATACCTCTTCAAATATCACTGGGAAAAGAGGGAGGCCGCGGAAATGGAAACTCTGTAAGGGAGGGCGGCCACCTAAAACCACTGGAAAGTCTCTGACTTCTACAAAGAATACCCCTCTGAGTCCTGGGAGTACTTTTCCAGATGTGAAGCCTGATCTGGAAGATGTGGATGGTGTTCTCTTTGTTTCCTTTGAATCGAAGGTAAGATTGTAATTTCCAGTGTTTTGAGAACTAATTAGTCTTTATATACTAACTGATAACCAATTTAAAGTCCAGTTTTTGTGATGTATTCTCATGTGTTTGGAGGAGGGACAGGCACTAAAATGGTTTAGTGACAGGTACCACAGCTCATAATAGCTCCCTATATATATGTATTTATATAGACTTAAAAATTTAGGTTTGATTAGATCTTAGTTCTTTAATTTTTTACTGTATTTAGTGGGAAATTTTTAGTCCTAAGTCTTAACTGGGATTTTCACCATTGCAGGCTTTTGAAAGACATAAATAGAATAAAAAGTTTGCAAACTCTTTGAGTCCATCTCCTCACCTTTTCCTAAAGCTTGTACAGTGATACTATTGGAAAAGCAAATATTAATGCTTATGTTTATTCTACTTTCTCACAGATTGATTATTTATTTATTTTATAATAACTCTTTGAATTGTTTTCTAGTATGTATTCAAAGAACTCTCGTTATCTATGTTTAAAACAGTTACATGGATGTTAAATTCTATTCTTTGTTATGTGAGTAAATGTCGAGGGTCTGAGAAATTCTTATATCAGTTGAAGTAAATACAGCTTTGTTTTGTTTTTTAAGTAAATACAGTTTTAAGCTAGTTAGCTGATTATACTTTTCTGTTGTTTTGCTTTCTTTTTTGCTTTTTATTATAAAATGATATTAATGTGAAAATATTTAGAAAATTATCAAAGTATGAATGAGAACAAAACATGCTTGTGTTTTGTAAAGCCAGCTTTGCTATTGTAAACATGATGATATATTTTTTTCCTTTTAAATTCTTTAAACTGTTAAACAAAAATGAATATCGCTTTTAGAAGTGATAGGAAGTGTACTTTTTTTTTTTAAATACAGGAAGCTCTAGACATTCATGCAGTTGATGGGCCAACAGAAGAACCTGCTAATCTTCAGACATCAACCACAAATGATTCAGGTATTAACTACATAATAGCATAAAAAAGAGAAAAATATTTGCTACATGGGTTCTAGGAGTGAAAGATGGCAACATTCCTTCTCAGTGTACAGCTTGTTGGGTCATCATTTGTTTTCTGAATAGGTTCCAGAGTAAGAATTTCCCAGTTGGAAAAGGAATTGCTAGAAGATTTGAAGTCCTTGCGTCACAAGCAGGTGATTCATCCTGCTCTTCAAGAAGGTAATAACTTCCTGAATGATTTACCAGCCAGTTCTCCTTTCCATCTTCTTTTTGCATTTTTCCTGTCTGCATACTCTCCTACTCTTTCAACCTCTTTTCTTTTCTCTTTCTTACTCACTCTTCGATTTAATTTCTTGCAAAATGAATCTTGGATGAAGCCTGGATTTTCTTCCTTTTTACACACACACACACACACACACACACACACACACACACACATTCTTATTATGTAATGTCTAATCAGAACCAATTCATAGCTGACTCTCCACTGAGTTTTGTTTTTTAAAATTTTGTATAGATACACAAAGACAAACATACACACCCATTTTTTGCCTCTCATTGTTGAACATTTTCTTTTCCTCCTCTCCTCACTCTCTCCCCCAAGTCATCCTGCCATACACCCCTTATTCCTGGTTGTTCTCGTGCATAGAATGCCTAATCATACATGCCTTTTGGACGGTTTTTCTTCTCATCTGTTCTAATGAAGTGTTTATTATCTAACAAATTTCCCATTCTCTCCCCAACCCCTACATGCTTGTCCTGTTTTCTAACAGCAGTGTTGTGCAGTATTTGTCCATTTCTGACTGAGATATTTCACTCAACATAATGTCCTCCAGGCTCCCACATCTTGCGTAATGTTTTATAAGTTCATTGTTTTTGTGTGAATGTACTAAGTTTTCCTATCCATTCATTTGTTGATGGTCACTTGGGTTGCTTTCATCCTGTTGCTGTTGTGAATAATGCAGCAATAAGCATGGATGTGCATACCTCTGTTTGCATTTTGGCTCTGGTTTCTTTGAAATATATTCCCAAATGGAGTTGCTGGGTCAAATGATATTTCTATTTCCACATTTTTGAGAAAGTGCCAGACCGCGTTCCATAGTAGCTGTACCATTTTATATACCCACCAACAGTGAGTAAGAGTTCTTATCTTTTTACAACCTTGCCAATATTTCTTCTTTCTGCCTTGTTGAACTTTACTATTGTTGAGTCAGCTTGCAGTTCTATAACTCCTCTCATTTATGTAAAAGCATGTTTACATGTTCTTTATACTAAGGGAAATATTTGCAACTGTGAAGGATTTGTCGTAATTTTACGACGCTTATATTATTCTGCAAAGAAGAAAAGTGTATCATTGTAAGAAAGTTGTATTTTTTTTCTGTTTCTCTGCCCATTATTTTCCATCTTTTTAGTGGCTTTCTGGGGGTGTCTACTTACCCTTTGGAAAAAAAAAAAGGAGAGACCCGGCCTTAGAAGAAGACATCATGTTTGGAAAGGTGGAAGGTCAGCGAAAGAAAGACCTTGAGGGAGGTGGAATGACACAGTGGGCTCAAGTATACTAGAGATGGTGAGGATGGCACAGGAATAGGGCAAGGTTCAGATCTGTTATTCCTAGGGTTGCTGTGAGTTGTACTTGACACCTCACCACAACAAACTTGCCCATATATGTTTGTTGTTATAGTTAGGACTGTAATAGAATACATTCTCCTTGTGCGACTGACAGTCTTCAAGTCAGAATTGACGCATAGTTGACCAGTGGATTTTCAGAGGCTGTGAGTTAAAATGGGAGGAGATTGCCCATCTTTCTCCCACAGAGCAGCTGATGAATTCAAACTCTATTCTTGTGTTGTCAGTGCAGCTCTGTACCAGTAGGACAGCAGAGCTCCCTAAATCTGTCTTGTATTTATTTAATGTGTTGCTAGTCCATTCTAGGTGGTGGCTTGTTGTTTTGTGCTGTGGAGTCACCTGCTACTCAGCTATGTACAATGGCTCTATTGCCTGGCATATCTTGAGGCAGTTTCACTGTTTCTGACACACCTGCCCCCATTTCTGCAGGTCCTAAGTCAGTCTGTCTCATCCAGGATCTTTCTCTCTTGCACTATTCCTCTACTCTTAAAAAGCATGATGTTCTTCCCCAGCGACTGGTCCCTCTTGGCCTCATGCCCAAAGTGTGTGAGACAGAGCTTTAAAATCCTTTCTTCCAAGGAACAACTTGGTTTCACTCTTTCCAAGATAGCAATCCATGATATATTCCCTACTCCAGTAGCACAACTCAAAGGCATGTTGCTGGGAGGTGCTATTCTTTGGAGAAGGACATGATGCTGGGAAGGGTGGAGGGTCGGCGAAGGAGAGGAAGACCCTCAACCAAGTGGGTTGAAAATGTGACTGCTGCAATGATCTTTTATGTGTAAGTGTGAGGATGGTGCAGGCTGATACCGGATTCAGATCTTTTGTTCTTTAGGTCCCTATGAGTCGTGCTTGACTCAGCGGCACCTAACAACAACATTCTCCCATATTTCCATTTTTTCCAAGAGAAACTTAAGTCAGCATTTTTTTGTAATAGCTCCCAATTTTTAGATGATGGCAGGCAGTTATAGAAAACTACCGTTTTCTGGGCACTGAACTAAAAAAAACTTAAAAAAGCATTAAGCCCATTGCCGTTTGGGTGTTTCTAACTCATAGTGACCCTTTCTGGACTGACTGTTTTTTCTCATTTGGAGAGACTGGTGGGCTTAAATTATCGACCTTTTGATTAATGTTCTAGCACTTAACCTTTGCTCTGCCAGCAGTCCTTGTGTAATTAATACCACTGAAAAATGAAAAATTTTATGTTGTATATACTTTATTGCTGTGGTCTTTGCTATCACTCATTATGCATCAGAGAGTTGGACAGACAGTGACTAAGGAGGATAGAAGAATGATGCCTTTGAGCTGTGGTGCTGGAGAAGAGTATTGAGGGTACCATGGACTGCTAGGAAAACAAACATATTCATCCTGGAAAGGGTTAAACCAGGAGACTCCTTGGAGGCAAGGATTCTGAGGCTTCATCTAACATACTTTGGATATGTTGTAAGGAGGGACAGGTCCTTGGAGAGGGACATCATGCTTGGGAGGGTGGAGGGACAGCGCAGGAGGGGAAGGCCCTCTATGAGGTGGATTGATTCAGTGACTGGGATAATTGGGATGGGTGTATCGGAGACAGTGTGATTGGCACAGGCCAGAGCAGAGTTTAGGGCTGTTGTACATAGGGTCGCTATGAGTCGCAAGCGACTCTGCAGCACATAACAAGAACATACTTTATTGCAGCATTATTTTGAAAGACTAAGCCTACAAACACTATGTGCCATTGAGTCAGAGCCAAATCATAGCTGATCTTCTGGTGGATTTTTAGAGGCAGTACATTGCATGGGAGGAGATAGCGCATCTTTTTTCTAAAGAGCTGCTGAAACTGTGGATGACCTGAATGAAGTGCTTGCTGCAGAGGACTGTTGTCTTCAATATGGATTGAAGCTCAACATCAAGAAGGCAAAGATTCTCACCACTGGGCCAACTGGCAGCACCATGATAGATGAAGAGATTGAGATTGTTAACAGTATCAGCTTGCTTGGCCCCGTGATTATTACTGTTGTTGGCTCCAGCAGTTAGGAAATTAAAAGATGGGTTGCATTAGGTAAATCTGTTAGGGACCTCCAGACTACTGAGAAGCACCGATTTCAGTCCAGAGACTAAGGTGTACCTGATCCAGGTCATGGTCTTTGCAGTTACTTGCTGTGCATCATAGAGTTGGACAGTGATTAAGGATGACAGAAGAAGAATTGATGTTTTTAAGTTGTGGTGCTGGAGAAGCGCCTTGAACTTCCCATGGAGGACCAAGAAAATAAATAGAACTGTCTTGGAGAGGATTTTGAAGCTCTGTCTCTTATACCTTGGGCATGTGGCCAAGAGGGGCCAGTTCTTGGAGAAGGACATCATGCTTGGACGGGTAGAGGGACAGCGCAGGAGAGGAATCCCCTGGATGAGATGGATTGGTGAGTAACTAGTGCAGTGGGGGTAGATGTGCCAGAGTCAATGGGACTGGCTTAGGACAGGTAGCCTTCTATTTTACTTAGGGTCACTATGAGTTCAAGGTATCTCGACGACACACAGAGCAAGGGAACACTACATAGTTTAAAATTAAGAAAGATGTGTGTAACAGTTATATCCTCTCTTCAAACCTATACAGTCTGTATGCTGAGCAAATTATTCAAGAAGCTGGACTCCATGAAGAAGAATGTGACATCAGGACTGGAGGAACCCTCCTCAACAACCTGACTTGAAACTATTTCTGCAAGAGATCATAGACTACAGCCTTGAATATGGATTATGTCTCAACATCAAGAAAATAAAAATTGTTAACCACTGGGCTGATAAGCACCATCATGATAGATGTAGGAAAGATGGAAACTGTTAATGGCTTAATCTTACTTGGGTCCACAGTCAAGTCTTGGTACAAGAAGTTAGGGGATCAGGAGACAGATGTATAGTACATTGAGAAAATTATAACCAGGAACCTCTCCAAATTACTGAGTCAGTAATGTCAGTTTGAAGACTAAGCTGTGCTTGATTAAAGCCATGATCTTTCAGACACTTGCTATTCATCTGAGAGCTGGATAGTAACTAAGGATGACAGAAGAATTTTTGATGCTTTGGCATTGGAGAAAGTATCCCATGGACTGCCAAAAAAAAAATAGATACATTAATGGTATATATTAACAAAACATACACCATTTCAATAATTTTTACTTGTACAGTTCAGTGACATTGCTTATATTCTTTTTTTCCTAGTTTATTAGTAATTTCAATGATAGTTTACAGAGGCTTTGGGTTTCCATTCATTCAGTGTTGCACCTTTCTCCCCTCCCAACCTTACCCCCCCAGTACACTACCCTCTTGGAAAAGTTAAAGACAAATTCTTTCATTGTTTTACAAACCTTCCCCCAGGTCAACTCCACTATGCAGCCTTCGCTCTGGACTCCTGTCATGACAAAAATTCCTAATCACATATCCTTTTTAAACAGTTTTCTCCCTCATCTGTTTCAGTGCAGTATACATTATTGAACCCATCTTTCTCAGTCTCCCCCCAACGCCAAGGTCAGTCCTGTTTTACAACAGTGGCACCATGCAGTGTTTGTCCTTTTGTGACTGAGATACTTCACTCAGCATAATGTCCTCCAGGGTCA